CAAGGTGTGTGCATTCCGAAGGCCCTTACCAAGCTTCCCAAGTGTTTCTTTGCAGAACGCATTTGCAAAGACGATGACACGCACCTACGGTGCTTTGCAGGTGAGCTGTTGACGGCCATACCTGCCATGACCTTGTTCAACAGTCTGGTTTTGGAACCTTTGGGAATTTTGAGGGACCACCGGCTTTGTTTCCAGCAGTTGGCAACCATTATTGACATCTTGAGCAAGGGCGAGGGAGCATTGCAGTTCCTTCCTCAGTTGAAGCGCGCAATTTCAACCCACAATGAGATGTTTTGCAAGCTGTACCCAAATTGCGCGAAGCCAAAGTTCCATTGGCTCTTTCATACCAGGAAACCTAGAGCAGTTCCAAGTTAACATGAGCTGCTTCTGTCCTGAGCGCAAGCATCAAGCAGTCAAGGCAGTAGCAAGCCATGTGCGCAATTTCACCAGTTTGATGCACCATATCTCAATGAGGATCGGTTGGGACACCTTACAAGCGTTTGACAAAGGTGACTGCAACATGTGTAAACATACCCATTTGGATGGGTCAGTGCGTCACATTGCGCAAGGTGCTGAAATGCTGTCTTTTTGGAGTGATGAAGTTGTGTGCGTCAAGACTGCAAGAAGATTGGTGACACAAACTGGGAGGGTATCTTTAAGGGGGATGTGGTGTTTGCCCCCCAGAGGCAACAACTCTTTGTCCCACTTGCTTTTGTGGAAGTCACCTTGATGTCAGGGGAGTGCACCTTCATGGTTCAAGCAAACTGCCACGATCATAAGGAAGGGGCGCTGTTTGAAGGATCTTCTATGCAAACTTTGCTGATGTGGGAGTCTGCTTTTAGATCAGTACACTACATTGCGAGGTCTTCCGGGCCATTGCGCGCATGCTTGCGCAATGAGGATGTCCTGGCAATGTCCCAGACTAAAGCTTGCCGCAAATTGATCTGATCGGCGTGAAGAAGGGAATGTTGCAGCACGAATGCAGTGGGTCTTACTTATACTTCCGACTGGCACGTTTTGTTGCAAGCTTCGGATGTCGTTCAACAACGAGCCCTGATCGTCCACGTAGACGATAGGCCCGAATTGGGCAACCAACTTCGCTTTGGACCCGATGTGTCCTGTAATTGAAGCTCCCTGGTCACAACGTCACTGGAGAATTTGGTGCGGGTCACGGCAAAGAGACCCAACGACCAACAGCCTCGCCTCAAGGTCCGATAGGTTTCTTGCGTGGCCTTGGAGACGCACAGCTCAACTCCCTGAGCCCCCTTAGGGCGGGACTCGAGGGATCGGCGGTGGCTTTGGAAGGTTCTCCAACTCAAGTTGCTGCTGCTTCTCCTGCTCGAGTTCTTCCTTGGTCGGAATGCGGGGCGGCGTTGGCAATGCTCCCAAGTCTCGACGTGACCTGGACCTGGCCGGGAATGCTCAATTGGCCTCGAAGCACGCTTTACTGTCTCAACTGCCGAAGTTGCTTCACGCTCAATGCCCTCTGTTTCAACCGACTCACGCTTGCTCTTGGCCTGGCCGATGTAGCTCTTGGTGGCGGTTTGACACGCTCCTCAACAGGAGGCTTCTCCTCTGGCTCACTCAACGATGGTGAAGGCTTGCTAGTCGTGGGGCGCGCTGGCCTAGATCTCAACTCCCTTGCACGCGTATCCTCAACCGAAACTGATCTCTCTTCTGTGGCCGGCTCAGTCGCCTGAGTGCAACGGAGTCGTCGGTTGCGCTGAAGTCAACTGCTGAAGCAATTTCTGGGGATCCGGCAGGGGCTGCTGGCGCAGTCTCGACCGGCTCTGCAAGATTTGTTCTAGGCTCACTGGTCTCAGTGTCTATGGATTCCCCTTCAAGCTCAACTTCTTCTTCGGCTTCGCCCGTTCGCAAGTCTTGATCGCGAGCAGGGCTCTCGTCACGGACTGGGCTCAAACCACCCTCTGGGACCCAGACCCACACACGCTGCCAGGAACCTTTTGGTGGCGAGCGGGATCTCTCTGTTCGACCAACGGGCGTCCTCGATCTCTCTTCTTGTTCACGCCCAATGTGATCAACCGGGGTTTCCTCAGTCTCACTCTCACTCGGAGGACGCGGAGGAGCTCGACGCGTTTCCCAGGTCTCAACCACGTGCGGGGGCGGACGCCTCCTTGTGTTTTCTGAGGAGAGCGCGCTGAGGAACAACAAAATTAAATTGTTTCTTCAAACCTTGAATGGCACTGCACCTAAACAACCCAAAAGGGACATTGACACCCTGGCTGAAGGAAGGAAGCAAGGAAGGAAGGAAGAAAGAAAGAAGGAAAGAAGGAAGGAATGAAAGAAAGCAAACAAGCAAACAAGAAAGAAAGAAAGAAAGAAAGCAAGCGAGCAAGCAAGCAAGAAAGAAGAGGAGGGAAGCAAGAAGGAAGATGTCTTTCTCTCTTTCTATAAGGCCTTTTGACCCTTGTTTGGTCTTTCTTTCTTTCTTACTCCCTTTTAATTAATTGTTTCTTTCTTTTCTTTTCTTTCAAGCGCAAGCGCACCGATGTCTTGACACCGATCTCTCAGAGCACGGACACAGAGCACCGTGAGCACGGACCGAGACACAGAGCACGGACACGGGCGTGGACCAAGACTTCGCGCCGGACCCGTAGGAGCGCGCACGGACAAAGCACCCGGCGGTTCTCCACAGTTGGAGAAGTGCCTCAAGCAAACTCTATAATTCTAAAGTTGGAGGACCTTAAGAAAACCCATCGTCGTTTTCACCCACAGGGGTTTCAAACACTGACACGCGGCGCCCTACAACCCATGTTTCGGAGCTGGGCGCCCGGCTCTGAATTAAGGATATTGAGGTCCCTCCACTACCAAAAAAAATAACAGTGTAGGTTGATCACCTTTTGTTTTAATCTATGACTTCTCTACCGCAAGCCTCTGATTCGCAGCTGGGCGCCCGGGTCCGATTTAGCCAACTGCAGCCTGCGTCAAACTAATCGTTGGAGATTTCAGGATTTGCTGTCGAGTCTCAGTTCATATTTTGCAGTGTCACTGTGACTTTGTTGTGAAGACACAGTTTTTATGGCTGCGCTTCAGACTTGCTTCGGGTACGCAGCAGCGCTTGGGGAGAGTGAGATGTAAAGGGAGAAAAAGCGACCACCCATACCAGAAGTAAGTCAGTTCTTCTAGATGAGTTTGTGAGTGGTCATGATGGTGCTGATGGGTATGATGATGATCAGGATGATGTTGATGATGATGATGACGACCATTATGAGGATGGTTCTTGAAGATGAGGAGGACCAAGGTGTTGCCACGAAGATGTCAGGAATGAAGGAAAGAAAGCAACAAGAAAGGCATACGCAGGAAAGACTTCAATCCTGCTCAGCTCTGTGTACCTGCATGCCTTTTGCAAACACCTGCAAGGACCCCAGTCTGATCAGCTCTGTGTACCTGCAGCTGTGTCAAAAAACATGCCACCAACCTGATCAGCTCTGTGTACCTGCAGCTGCTTCCAAAACATGCCACTTACCTGATCAGCTCTGTGTACCTGCAACTGTTTCAAGGCATTTTCCATTGACTTGATGAGATTTCTGATTGACACCTGCCACTCCTGATGTTATACCTGGGCGAGCCCTCCTTAGAAAACCCAAGCCTCGGCTGCTGTGGCGATCGAGCCCTGTACACCTCGCGGACAGGCCTCCCGCGATCCTCTCGCCTCTCGCGTCGATCGCGATCTGGGTATCGACCAATGGCACCGCAACCACGCTCGCGGTATTCGCGATGCCCAGAACGACTATCGTAGTCACGACCACGTCCGCCTGTCTCACGAAACTCTCTTTCAATACGCTCCCTTCCACGGCCTGAAGACCTTCCACGGTCCTCGACCGGCAACCCCCGTTCACGACGGGATATCTGACTTGCGCCTCTTGGCCCCCTTCGCCTCCGCGATCGCTCACGCGGCTGTGGTGGCATGGGTCGCGCCGGAAGCGCGAAAGAGTGAAAGTTCAAACAAACAAGTATCTGTCCTCGCTCCACTCAAACTCAATGATCTCTCAAACCCTGCGGGTATATGTGAATGCAGTATATGTCAAGCTTGACACGATGCTATGTCAATAGTCAAGCTTCTCTTTCTCTCAACCAATGGTCTCTTGTAGCCCTTGATGCGGCTGATAACCAGTTGAAAGCTGATCGTATACCTGGTTCTATCAATTTAGGGGCAGCGCGCAAATCGCGAACGGTCGATCGATCGCGACCATGAAGGCGCAGCCTCCGTCTTTTCCAGGCACACTTGAGCCAAAGTATTTGGCAAGTCCACAGTCCAATCGGAGATGTCTCTTTCAACATGTCTATTTCCGATGATGCAAATGTTCACATTACGGTTCCCTAGCACAGGATTGACATCCAAAAGTGCTTTCAATGAATCCCTTCATGCATGAACTCAAGCCCTTCACTCCATGTCAGTACTCAAAGTCCAGGCTATGGTTTTAGACGAGGGATTTCTTCTGAACGAAGCACCATTTGCATCCATTTTGCTGTAGATTCTTCAGTGCAAGTGCCTGATCTCTTTTCACCATTCAAGAGTTCATCTCACCCACTCAGGATGTGTTTCCCCTTCAGCAGCAGCAGAATTCTACTTGCAAAGGACATGCGTATCTTCCGCGTTCGCAAAGTGTGGATACCAATCACCTTATACCTTAAAACTGGAAAGCGGGCGGTTGCGCGCTTGCGATGTGACGCCGACGACGTTCAGAAACATAGGATCAATTCCTGAACAAAACAAAAGCATGTTCTTATGTTCAAGACCCTTCGGCTCTATGTTGCAGCCTTCGCATTCTGGTTTTCCCTTGCACCCCTTTCTAGCTGCCAAACTGACCCGTTGCAGAAAACCATAAAATGTTGCGGGAACATGTCAGGTCTTGTTTTGGAATGATTGGTTCTCGCTCTCAACAAATCGTTTCTAGACTGTGCTTTCTCGATTTGTGCTTGATGCCGTGTCGGTCCCCACAAAAAAAGCGCTCGAAACCGCACAACTTCGGCCGTACCTTTGGGGCAATCGGCGCATCCTGCACAAGAATGGAGACAATTGAGCACACCAACAAGTATGAAGCAAAATGCGAAACGCTTCTGAACCGCTCTGTATTTGCTTGGGCAAGCAAGGAACAAGAGTGAAGTCCTGTAGCTTCTCTGCGGCATGTTGCAAGGCATGTATGCTTCCTTCTAAAGCTTTAATAACCACACCTTTGTCGCACTGTAGCTCTTCCGAAACCAGCTGCAAAACGTCGGGATCCTGTTTCACTACCTGCAGGATGAAGTCTCTGTCATTCCGCAGTTCTTCTGCTGCTGCATGATTGGAGGCATTCCGGCTCTGTTTGACAGCCCGCGGCTCCTCTGTGTCATCCTTTTTCAAATCTCGATCCGCGTGTAGCTCTTTGGCAGCGTGCTTTTTTGCGAAAGCATTTTGCTCCACTCTCGGGTCTCGCTGAAGCTCTTCAGCAGCAAACTCCAGAGCTAAGCCATCCTTTGTTCGCACAACCTCTGGGTCTTCCCACAAATCCTCAGCTGCGTGCTGCAACGCCAATCCATTAACGGCCACAAGCTTCAGGACGATTGGTTTTTCTGTCGGCTTCGCAGGATCTTTCTCCTCAGCCTGCGTCAATTGACACAAATATAAACAGCCATTGATTGTTAAAACCTGCAAAGCCAATCGACAAAGCCCTGATCTCATGCTGGGCTGCTGGACCCATTTCCATGACCGGGTGAGGCAGGCAAGACCGAGAACTGCTAAACAAATAATCAACCCAGTGATTCTCGCAAGTGGACCTGCTCAACGGGAGGAACAAAAGGAGTTGACAAATTGGCCTAACATTGAGTCTGTGAGGACCCAAGGGTGCCAGCACACCCCAAGACTTTGGAGGACAAATTCGCAAACAAAGGCAATGAAACGTCTTGGAGAGAGTTAAGATAGTCTAGACCCGTCTTGGGTTGATATTGAAAAAACAGTCTCAAAGCCTGTTGAAAGGATCACTCTTCGAAACGTTTTGCGGGACTTAGCGTTTGGCTGCCGAATGTTTATCTAAAGTGCTGAAAATTCCTGCAATCTTGCGCGTGCTGGTTGTACCAACAGGGTCATTTGGAGCGCGATCCGTGCTGGACATTTGCCGCCGAATGTTGCGACAACAATGTTTCACTGAATGTTGCGGATTGCAGTCTATTGTTTCACAGGTTATGTGCAACGTGGTTGAGACTCGAACAGATCTTTGGACAAACGGCTGGTAGTAGTTGTAAAAATGGAAGGAAGGAAGGAAGGAAGGAAGGAAGGAAGAAAACGATCAGAGCCCTTTTGCAATGCAAACAGAAGATGAACATAATTCACTTTCACAGAGCTGCTGGATCAACTGGCAAGTGCGGCAGATGCAGACGCTTTGACTGTCCAAAGGTTTGAGGTGAGTTGACAAATCCTTTTCAGAAGATCCCCGATCTTCACTCAGCTCTCGTAAGCTACCAAGAGGCCAGAAGCCATATATATATATAAGTGGAGGTGGAGTGGAAGACAAGCCGTGGATTCTTGCCTTTGAGAAGGAGTTCCTGTGGAAAAGGGAAAAGTTATGGGATGAGCAGCAACAAGGGTTTCCGCAAGGGCCAGTCAAAAGGAAAAGTCGAATTGTTAGCTCGCATCTCAAGGATGCATTGCAAGAGATGTGGTGGGTTGGGTCATTGGAAAGCAGCGTGCCGAGGAGTCTCAGGCGAACGTTGCCTCAGCATCCCATGAAGCGATGGAGCAAGACTTCACAGAGCAAGTTTTGATCGAGGAGAGCAAGTCAGACACCGAGGTCCGGATTGGAAGAAAAAAGCACCAGAGAGGGTTTTCAGAGACAAGTAAAAGCCAGAGTTCGTTCGAGCATTTCGAAGAAGCATTTCTTTTTGGAGCCACAGTAGAAAAAGCAAAGAATGTTGTGTTTTTTTGCTGTCTGTTTTCTTCGGAAAGTTCCCGAGCTACAATGCCATGATCAGGAAGACCCAAGAACAGCCGCTGGATCATCAAAGAGCAGCACACGAATTTGGTTTCGCCAGCAAGGCTAGCCAACCGCAGGATTCCAGACAAACGGAATGGCCATCATTGACGCAGGAGCCAGCCGCAGTGTGATAGGAGATGAACCAATCCGATCCCGTGTGAAAGAGCGAGCTAGCCAAGTCGCATATTGTTTAGGCAGCAATCAAATAGGATAATAGCCTAGCTGTTAGCAAATCCCTATTCCATAGAGCATAAGAGAGTACGCATGTGGCTTGTAGTTGAAGTGGTTCCCAAAGCAACCCCATGTTTGTTGTCGATTCAAACGATGAAACGTCTTGGAATGGTCATTCATGTGCAGTGATTTTGCTGAACCAAGTGGCAACTCAAGCGTCGGAACAGGTTTCAATGCCGACCGAGCAGATTTCAACGAGCGAACTCCTCTCAGAAGGAGAAGATCGGACTGGCGATGATGAAACAGAACACATCACCGCGAGAAGAAGCATTCACAGTTCTGACGGAAAGCGATCTGGAAGTCTGGGATCAAGAGGTGAGTTTTTTCAACGCCAAAAGGTTGCAGCCAATCTCTCACCACCCAGGGTGAAGTCGGCAGCCGGGAAAGGAAGCTTCCGAGCCCAAGCATCATCAAGTCACGCAGTTTCGAGTCTGATTGGGATTGCAGTCGCCCATTGCATTCAAGCGAGACTGGAGTGATTCAGCCAAACCAGAGCCAAGGACATGGTTCCTGCATGGACAGCCACAGCCATGTAACAATGGGGACAGAATTCACGTCGGGAGAGAAGCACCCAGGAAAGCCGTTTGCTTTGGTGAGCTGGCATCTGAGCCGGATCAATTCGGATGCTCCGATCAGCGATTTTGCACCGTACCGCCAGAAAAAAGCCAAGGATTGAAGTGAAGTGGGAAACATTAGCTCTCGATCAAATGGTGTCAGTTGAAACAGAGACCGAGGCAAAGTTCATAAAAGCAGCAGAAGTAGGAAAAGGCAGTTCGTTCAGTAGGCAAATAGATATGCTAGAAGTGTAGGCACAGCCAAACAGCCGACTAGCCGAGGAGGTAATTATGGTGACCCATCCACATTCCATGGCAAAGTGCAGCTGCTCCGAATGATCTGTCGATTGCGACCGAAGCACATCTGGGTTGCGCCAGAATGCTGTCTATGGTGCGCTTGGAATCGTTTCAATGCAGCCAGCAGTACCACATTGCACGAGAAAATTCAACGAAACAGAGACCTGTCACGTCAAAAGAACGTCTCGAACTGTGCGCACTGATTTGCAAGATTCAGGTCCAAAAAGGAAGGCATTCCATGGAAAGCCCAGGAACATCAGACGTGTGGAAGCAAGTCGAGCTCGCATCCATGATGGTACTCACCAAAACAGCCCAGTTAGATCAATGCAGGTTCAGTCTAGTACATCCAGAAGATCATAGGCCCCTCAAGATGTACACACGTTTGCAAACCACATCCAATCACATCGTTAGGGATTTAGATGGAAGAATGTGCAGAAAGGATCAACACACTCAGGTAGCAGGGTCATTCAAATTCCAAAATCAAAAATTCGCGTATCGGCTTGCAGCGTTCTATCCCAGACTGCCGTCAGAAGTCCCATCGTTTGAAGAAAATGTGCAATGAAAATGAAGCATTCCCAGCAGATGAAGAAGATCTGCAAAAACTCGCACCTTTTGAGCAACGCCACCAGAATCAAAGAGCAAAGCCGAACCTGCGGAAACCGTGAGAACGCCTCTCACGGAAGCCAATCTAGGGAAGAGGTTCTCAATTGGTTTCAGACCAAGCCGCCAAAATCCGGATCCGTCGTCTTGCTAAGCGACTGGCCAGGCAGTTGATTGATTCAGCAGTGCGGATTCGATGTAAGGTAAAGGCATGGATAAATATATCGTAGGTCAAACCACAAATTATGAGATCCAAAGAACCAGTTGAAGTTTTTTTAAGAAATGTAGATATATAATATATGTTTGACTTGGGGGAAGAACAGTGGACAAAGATGACTCTAAACCAGCAGAGATGAAGTGCCAAGTCACATCATGTCTTTTCGGATCACAGTTCGATCGAGAAAGAAGACAGACTCTTTCGATCTCCGCCAAAGAAGCCAAGAGACAAATCGAGCGGTTCGGTCCGTTCGGTCCGTTTGGTCCGTTCGGCAATCAGAAGTGCCAGAGTCTAGCTTTGTCGAGTCGAGTTCCGCCAACCAAAAGGTTGACGAACTTCAGGAAGCCAAGCAAGACAGGCTGACAGTTCCAGCATGGTTTTCTGGAGTGTTCCAACAATTCCGGTCCTAAATTTCACAGTTTGGATAGTTTCCAAAAGTCCCTGATCCAAAGAATATACAAAACATATGGGACACCCAAATGCAAATTTATTAGCAAATGATCTTCGTAGACTCCAATTTTCACAAGAGTTGACAGAAGGAACAAGCGAATATTTGTGCCAATTATGTTCAGAAAGAGTTACAATATATAACCCCAAACTAACGATGGATTCGAGTGAAAAAATAGTTTCGGAAAAACATATTATGTGATACACATCTTTCGTCACGAGAATTTCTCCTGGTCTAGATTCCTGAGTCAAGAACAAAATGGACACATCTAGAACGAAGTGTCCTCGCCGTGTTCGTTATATGTGTCTGACGTCAGCACCTGTTCTACTGAAGGGCAGTCTATAGCAAAATGGACGTGTCCTCGCGGATTTCGTCATATTGTATCTTCAGTCCGGCACCTCTTTTTCGGCCGGAGCATAGTCAGGAGGATGCTCTCCTGGTCTAGGTGCCTGCAGGGCAGTCGAGAACAAAGTGGACGCATCTGGAACAAATTGTCCTCACCGTTTTCGTTTTTGTTTTGATATTTTCTGACGTTACTACCTGCTCTACTGAAGGGCAGTCTAAAGCTAAATGGACGCGCGGTCACCGATTTCATCCTTTTGTCTTCAGTCTGGCACCTCTCTTCCGGACGGAGCATAGTCAGGAGGATGTTCTCCTGGCCCAAATGCCTGCAGGGCAGTCTATGTTAAGTAGACATCTAGAGCGATGTGTCCTCGTCGACTTTGTAATGTTTCCCTGACACTGGCACCTTTTGCGCCGGTGGACGATCGTCAGGATGATATTCTCCTGCTCTAGGTGCCTGCAGTAGTCAAGAACAAACTGAACACATTTGCCAGATCATTTGCCGAGCAATTTATATAAATGTCTATAGAACGGCTGGCAGAGGATAAAACTGCATAAAATTACTGGCAAAGGTGTTTCTATAAAGTACAACGTCAGATCCAGCAATAGTAAAAAAAAACTTTTTTGAAGTATGGGCAAGTGATGCCTCTATGAAATGATAAACCAGATCTCAACAGAAAAGTAAGATATCTCCATAACATGTCTAAGAAAGCTCGTTTATTTCACTCTTGAGCTGTAGCGGCCTGCAGGTGCAGGTCTTTGTGCTTGACTCAACATGTGCTTTCACATGGAGTGTGTGAGGTCCTTTCTCTCCATGTGAGGGTGTTACACTCCTCCTTTGAGGTAGACGTGGTGAAGTCTGCTCTCAACTTCTGCGCTCACATCTCTGCCAGGTTCGTGTTCCCCAGCATTGATTGCGCTCTGCAGTGATTGCTCCTCAGCGCGGTTCTCTCTGTGGCGGCGCAGCTTGTGCTTGTTCAACTTGCTGCTGCAACGCCGCTCTTTCTGCTCTGGCCCTGCTTTCTCTCACAACATTCATCCAGTCTCTGCTTCCAAGAGGCCATCCATATCCTCTTGGAGACTCAGGGATTTCCTCTTCAGGCTCAGGCTCGTAGCAAAGCCTTCGTAGAAGCCATTTGCCACCGTCTCTCCTACAGTTGGGGTTCTCTATGAGGTACTTTTCACCAACTTGAGGTGTGTCGATCTCAGGGTCGAGGAGTCGGTGAATCTGGATTTCACCAGTGTCCGGGTTGAACCAGAACACGATGCCAGGCATGTTGTTCTCCACATAGCATTCTGGGTGTTCTCCCAGCTCTTCTCTCAGGCCAGCGCGCCGTCGAAGTTCTCGAACTGCTTCCGTCACTTCGTCGCCAGGCTCACGTTCAACACGTCGAACTTGTTCAGGCGAATCACCTTCTGGTTCTGGTCTGCTGCATGTTCTTCTTCTGAACTCTCTTCACTTATAAGCTTCCAAGTCCTCCATGGCGTTCTAGACGTCCATCCACGTCCAGAAAGTACTCCTCGCCAGGGAAGCCTTGCGCTCGGCTTCGAAGAACTCTGTAGGTCGGCATTTCTTGACCAATGGGGTCCCGATCTTCAACTGTTGCGATGACATCGTCATCGTCTACATCCATTGCATCCTCTGTGAACTCATCTTCCGTGCGTTCTCCGCCAGAGTTGTAGGCTGTCTCCGTGAGGTTCTCGAGTTGAGGTTCTTCTTCTTGTTCTTCTTCTTCATCTCCTTCAAGTAGTAGGTGGTTGACATCTCCACCATCAGGTTCATCCCATAGTTCTCCATCTCGATCACTTCCACGAGCTTCCGGATCATGTCTGGCTGGTTCTCCAAAGATGTTGAACCTTGTGTTCTTGACCTTTCTCTCTTCACCATCTCGATGAGGGTCTTGGGGTGGTGAATCACGCCGTTGAAATTCTCCGCCGCCTTCAACAGGTCGTAGGTCGTAGGTCGAAGTATCACCAGAAAATTTTGACTGCCTAGATCAGAGTAGGATTAGATCAGGGCAGGGTCGCATATATCAGCAGAAATGTCATATTTTTCGCATTTTCACATGTTTTTTTTATCAATTAAAGGGTTCCACATTTTTACTATTTTTCACATTTTTGCTCATTTTTTGCACTTATTGAAGAAAACGCCTCAAGCATAACATTGTCAATCATATTGTGTTTCTTGGGGAGAAGTTGTTCCAACAGCTGAACACAACTGACGATGATGTCATCCACCGCGCACAGGACGAACCTTGGACGACAGAAGTTACTAAGTTTTACATAATTCAAGTGACAAAGCCGGTGAAGGCACTTGGGCCAGAAGAAGCCCAATGCAACTCAGGGAAGCAGGTAGGACAATAACAGTAAAGTTGATTCACTTAGTCTGGCGTGGTCGTTGAGTTGTTTCTATTTCTAAATGTTTCTAATGGTGTCTACAGGCCTGTCTGCTGTCTCCAAGAGCTTCACTGCAGCGCTGTGACAATCGCATGTTTTGCGCTCTAGGCAATGCAAGCACTCGTGCGTACAGTAAAGCCAGGAACATTTGCTGACCGCCACCATACATTTGCGGCGTCATGGGGCCGCCAAACATCTGCGGCATCATTGGCGGCGTCATCCCGCCAGACAACGTAGACGCCCCACGAGCCTTCTTCTGTGCCCGGTTCACTGCATTGACCACCGACATGGCAACAGCAGGGTAATCAGAAGCGACAAAAGACTTTGAGAAGACACTTGACAGCAGCAATCATATCACGGTCCAGTTTGCATGTGAAATTAGTTTTTGTCCGATTTTTGCATGTTTTAATCTCATGTTTCGAGATGGTAAAATGATTTTCCCTTTTAACTCCTCGAGATTTCTTGAGATGTTTTGAGATTTTTCGAGATTTTTTGAGAATTTTTCAGCGAATTGCTACTATTATTTTCCCTTTCCTTTTCTGATTCTTGTCCTATTATTGTGTTCTGTCCCATCGTTCCCTTTTCCTTTTTTCTATTATTCCATTATTCTTTATTCTCGGTGGTCAATGCAGTGAGCCGGGCACAGAAGAAGGCTCGTGGAGCGCCTAGAGGGATGATGCCACCAACGGTGCCGCAGATGGGTGGTCCTATGGCGCCGCAGATGAATGGTGTAACAAAATCATCCAAACGATCAATGTCTGACTGAAGTGGTGCACCATGGTGGAAAATATGTATATAAGTATATATTTGGCTTGACTTTCTCAAACCCTTAAACAATAAGTTCACCAAGTGTTCAAAATCTATTCACCGTTGAGATTATGATTTCATCCGCGCAACCCCGTTTTAGTCACATGCTAGGCCAGTTTGTGCTCAATGGGTTTTCACAAACTCTTACGCGTCAAATTTTTGGCCATGTCATATTTTTCATTTACTTTCATTTGTTTGCATTTTTTGCATGTTTTTGCATTTTTTGCATGTTAAATCTCTTACCGAGATTTTAAATCTCTTTTGAAAGTCTTCCATTCCAAGACCTCTCCGGCGAAGGTCATTGAATTTTTGTTGGTGAAAGTAGTCCCTGAGGTAGAATTGAATAGGATGAAGACGAATACGTTGAACGCCATCATCATCATGCCAGTCTGCAAGATTTGGTAGCCCATCTCGGTCAGGAGAGACCATGCTGCAACTGAAGCTGCGTTGAGCACCATCAGCGCCAAGTCGCAACCTTGCACACTCATAGCCATCATCATGGCCACCATCAAAACTGCATTTGCCGTGAACACCATGAGGAAAAGTCCACGGTTTCCTTCATTCCCGGTCGTCGGCTCTTCTCCGACTTCCATTCCGTGGCCCTGCTGACTCAAAGCCGCCAAAAGCAAACATGTCAGCTGTTGTACTCGTTCAGGTCGAAGTCCTTTGGCGTGTCGAACTTCTTCTTCTTCTTCTTCTTCTTGGGCTCCAACTCGTGGTCCACCAGCGTACTCCAAGTAGCCAATGAGGCCCAGCAAGAATCTCAGTCTCTTGCTGCTCTGACTCGTTGTTCCCAAGTCACTGCTGTTTTCCTTTCCCGGCACTGGTCGAATTGCTGCTTCTCGCTCTTCAACTTTCTGTTGTACCCAAAGAAGTCCAGCGCTTATGTGTCGGGTTCTTTGTACGCCTTGTCGTTGGAGTAGTGCTCGAGCAGAGGAACTGTCAATCCTCGGCTCCAAGACCACTTTCATGTTCAGCACAGCTTCCAACATTCTCTTTATGTATATTCCATCTGCCACGCCGCTGACTGCTGAAATGAACTCGGCTTGACAAAGCTATGCTCTTCTGGCTTCTGCTTGCACTCCAAAAGAAGATGCCGTTGAGGTACATGTGACTGCATGACATAGATCTCCTTGTAGTCCTGTCTGAGGCCCAGTCGCTGTCCGTGAAGACTTCGAGTAGGCTCGGGCGTTGTGTTGCAGCCATCTTCACATCATCACTCCTTTCTCCCATAGCCGAAGCCATTAGAGCGAAGCTCTGCTTCTTCATCTCCTGCACATAGTCTGCCGCGTGCTTCAAGTAGAGCACCAGCTGCTTCAACTCCTTCTGGTCCAGGGTGTCAGGTCCTGTGACCTTTGAAGCCAACTGTCGAACTGCACATTGAATGTCTGGCCTCTCAGTTGACATGTAGAGCAAAATGCCAACGCAAGTCCTGTAGAGGCTCGATTCTTCTCTGGAAAGAGGTTGTCCAGTCCTTTCTGGAAGGTTCCAGTTGTAGGCGTCAGCTTGCCCTTGTTCACGTGCAGGTCCAACAAGTCCACCAACTTCTTCACATACTCTGGTCCATTCGCACTGTCATGGGACCAGATCCATCTCAAGCAACATGCCTCTTCAGCAATGCGCGCATGGGTCCTTGCACTTGAAGTGTCCATTCCTGCTTTCTGAAGCGATCAAGGAGCTTCTCAACATCTTGTTGACTTCCAACCAGCCGTAGGTCGTCAACATGTGAAGACATCACCAAGGGTGTCCTGCCAGCCTTGTAGAAGACTGCTAGGTTTGCAGGATAGGGTTGTAGTCCTTGGTCTCGTGCCACTTTGCCCAAGTGGTCATACCATGCCTTGGATCCAACTCGTTGTCCAGGAAGGCATCGTCCAAGTTCAAAGAACTCTTCATTGCGCTCAACATAGACCTTCTCCTCCTGGGGAACCATGGGGTAGGCGTCCTTGACATCAACTGCCCATAGTCCAAGTTCTCCTTGGCTCGACTGAACCAAGGCAGCCCAAAGTTTCACTCCAATTGCATTGCTCGTAGGGCTGAACAAATTCTCCATCTCAGGCGCAAGAAACTTGTAGTCTCTGCCAACTAGTCTTGACCGTCTCATCCAGCCAAACTTACTAGTCTCTTCCTTGAGGCGCCATCGCCAGTCGTAGACCTTCTTGCTCGAACCTGTAGCCCTCAAAGTTGCCATTCTTTGGAACGAGGACTCCCATCTCCTTGAGGCGTGAGATCTCTCGTTCATCTGCTTCGAGCTCC